TATTGTCCCAGCGATCGAGTCGTCTTCTTCTCAACCGGTTCTATTCCCGACTGATTACACACTCCTACGGTGGAGATAGAGACTAAACTGGGAGAGTGGAGTGCAAGCGTCGTCGACTTGCTGGTTCTAGGTGGGACGGACCTTCGCAGTTTATTGGTTATGTCTAGCTTCATCTGAGACAAAGGGGGCGGAATGATGAAGGTCAGGATGCTCAAGAAAGCAGATCTTGAGACTAACCGTACAACGAGGTTCTGGTGAAGTCGCACAAAGGCTGTGTAAACCTGATTTATCAGATGACCTTTACCTTGTTAGCTAGGCTGCAAATGTGATGTAAGAAAGCTGAGGTGTCCACCAAAACGTAACCATACAATGTGAGCGGACGGGTTTCTTCAATGGCGAACCCGGAGACGATGATTTTCCCTCCATTTCTGCTGCTTTTCCAGCTATCTGAGGAGTTCCGTGCACAAAGCCTGTAAAGGAACTAACCAGTAAATTAACGTTACTAGATCATTCTAGATAAGTCTTACGGCGACCTACTGCAACATCAAAGCGGCCTACAAGTATGCGAATAACCTAATCCATGGTGTCATTAAACAAATCCGATGAGAAAGCAGCCCTGAGGGCAACCGGAAATGACGTCGTCATACACACGGACTTCAGTCCTGAATACCTGACAGTAAGCTTAAATAAAGTGAAGGAGGTTGGGTGGCACGATCGACCACACAGACTTCAAAACGTACGAAACGCACGGTGACCAACTCTTGATAAAAATGGCGCTGTTCGACGGTTGGAAGAACAGGGGACTGAGCCTCGACATGCCGTCGTTGGGAGAGGGGGAACACGGAAAATTTAACAAGAGTGGCAAGGCTATCTATACCACCCAAGTAGTATTTAAAAAATCCTCAATTGATTTTCGGCATCGTCTTTGTAAATCCTAACTTATTTTAAAGGAAGCATCTACGAATATATCCTTACTTAGATTAAAAATTGTCGCTCGCAGAAACGACGACTCGTAGTTTAAAAAAGCTTGCAATTGTGAGACGTCTTAAAACAGTAAAATGTACAGTCTGTAGTGCAAGGGCAACAACCAGCCAGATTCAAAATTATCCGAAAACTTTGGAAAAAGTGGAGGATAGGGGCTCTTTAATTAGAAAAATTAAAGACGTAGCTTGTTACAGAATAAGCACATAAAAGGGCATTCTCTGTATACTTTCTATGTAGGATGTTTAAAACGCTAAGGGCATCGAAAATTAATGGTAAAAGGGACAGTGCTTAAAGAGACATTTGCGGATGAGTGTGATCTTTGCGGGCGGTGGAGAATACGCATACACAGAAACCGAAATCCTGAAATATCTGGAAATCATACTGAACGCTAATCAACATTACAATGTCAGAAAATTCGGAAGAATATCTGGCGTAGCTTTCGATAAATTATACGCGGGCCATTACATTTATATAGGGAGGGGGTAAAAATAACATGCTGGCGATTGTGTTCATCATTACAGGCAAATTAGTCATGGAAATTTATCAAAACCTACGCATGCTTGTCAAACATTTTTCTGAATTGATTGATGGGAATTTTTGCAACCTTAAAAATGTCAGAAAACTCGAGTTAAGACAAACATTTCCAACCAAAACCATAATTTAGAACACCAATTAATATTTCACGAAGTACGCTACCTACCAGATAACCACACAAATATAAGGCCCGAGACAGGGCCTACGTGAACAAGAGCATCTACTTTCTGTGAGTCGGAATAGGATTCCTTACTCGAATCAACTAATACTTCGACATAACAAGGTATAAAATCTCATGAATCAATAAGCCTGCCCGTTCAGACGGCCTGATATTCAACTTTTAGAGTGAATAGACGGGTTCTGACTGAACTCAGCAAGTCTTCTTTCCGATTATCTTGCTTCAAGCTCACTCAAAAACTGCTGAAATTACACAAAGTACTGCAAAGATTACCTAATGTTGCATCTTTTGAACGCAGGAAATAGTCTTCATCATTCGAATAGTGGGCGAAAATGCGGCTATTTCCGCTAATCTAAACAGAGACTGTGAAAGTTGCGAAAGAAATTCAGTTGGAGACCACTGAGGCTTCACTTCTTCAACCACGCAGTGCAAAAGAAGCAGTCGCGTAAGAGACCTGCTAGGTTGTCGGACAGTTAACAAAAAGTGCAAACAGTACCGGTCTCGGGAGCAGGCCGAATGGACTTGCGAGAGAGTCCTGCTTAGGCGCTGGGCTGATGTCCAAATATTGAGTTGTATGACTTTGTGGAGGAACAGCTTAGAGGAGTATACGGAAAATCGTGTACGGTAAGAGATCCTGTCAGGAAACGCACTCAAAGTGGCATTACGCCTCACCCATCCCTTCAATGAAATCG